ATATTTCATCCTAAACTGCTGCCAAGTGCGCTTCTCCTCCGCGGGATTGCACCTAAATGAAATAAATTAATAGGCTACCATTCAAGCAGTTTTCCCCTGTAATATTATTGTGATTGCAAAGGACTGCATTTAAACTTATGCATTCTCCCACGCCGTCTCCCTCTCTTTTGCAGCTGCAGCGGTGTTGCACTTCTTTTTGAAAACGTGTTCAAACTTGCCGTATGAGCGCATTAAGATTTCTAATTCTAGTGGGGTGAAAACCGCCCTCCCCGTCCCCGTTGCCATGGTGACTCGTCGAATCGGGGCTCCATTGATGCTGGCTTTTTATAGTTGTGGTGCACGCGCTTAACTCCAGGTGAAACTACTCTGAGTTGATTAAACTGATTCAAATCAGCTGTTCTGGAACCGGAAACTCAGAGTTTCCTATCTCAGAGTAGATCAACTCAGAGTTCAGGATTAGACTCAGAGTTTGTTGAACCTGCTTTGTGAAACGGACCCCAGGTGTGTTGTAGAGGGACAGTGACTGTGTGATCGTCTCATTTCACTTTTTAAGACAAAACTAAAGTCATACAAACACTTCCTGTAACTTTAAAGTTACAATGTGTAATTTACGTGGTTGTTTATTAGCAAATATCAACTATTGCTTTCATAAATATATATTTACTAAAGTGTAATGCAATTCACACACAAATGGAAGCTTTCTCTTAGGCTTAGAATGATTTCTCTATATATACACAGGCAGGGCGCGGTCTGCTGGAGGCTGCCCTCTTGCGTCGCCATATTTGAATACAGTACAGGGATATACGCGCTTCGCCTTTGGCGTTTACCTAGAACTTGCCGTCACTGGAGACGGTTAAGGTGAAGATCAATCCGGGGCGCTTCTGCATGAACCTGCTTTGTACTTTTATGATTCTGTCGCACTGTAAATGGAGGACCACACATATGTTTTGCCCTGTAAGAGGGAAACCACGCCACCAAATAAGAGAAAAAGATCAGATAAGCGAGGACGGGACAAAACGCGAGTGAATATCAGTGTTGCTTATTCCAGGTGGAAAGAACTCCTGAAGGAGAAGGATTTCACAAGGGATGCGGAGGTTGCCTGCTTTCTGCTAGACAGGTAATTCAATCTGATATTTTAAAATCATTTTGGCTTCATGTTTGCAACTACTTTTCCCTCTCGTCTAAGTTCAAGTGACAGCTACGTTTACGTGCTAACGTTATCCTAGCCTTGGCTAACATTATACCAGAGCTACAGCTAAATGGTTAGCCTAGCCTACAGCCTAATCTGTTGTTTACTCGCACGCTGCTGCGACGGCTGCCACCCTCTCCTCCTCCTCCTCTTCCCTCTGGGGAGCCGAGACACACCTCTTCGCCTGGCCGTTCCTGCACCGCATCCTTCCTCTCTCTGGTCTTCCTCCTCTCCCTCTCCCTCCTCTCCCTGTGTCCTGTGGAAGAACACTCTGGAAATGCATGTATTATAATCGTACCAGCCTATATTTGCCGCACTGTGCCGTGACTATCACATAAAACGTGTTATTTTAGCATTACTGTGCTAATGTTTGCTCGTGTTACCAAAACAATTAGAAATAAAACACTCCTAACATATATCTCACAGATAACCTGTATCTCACTGGTAAGCTATAACATATCGTAACATGGTTTAGATTCCTAAATACATATTCACCTTGTCGCTAGATACTCCTGAAAATCTCGAAAAGCTCTGCTGTCTGCGCAAGGCTTTTTGTCCTAAGAGGCCACCGTCACTTACCCGACAGGAGGGGTGAGTAAGTGAGTGCTGCAATCTAGAATTTGACCGCTGACGTCACCATTTTTACACACTGAGGCTTTAAAATCACTTCCTTCAGTACCCTTGATCAGCAGATTTAGTATCATACGTTATCTCACTTTTCATGCTAAAATCACAAACCCATAAATAAATCATCATGATTTCTTTTGCTTTACTTTCGTACCACAAACAGAGTTTGATTGGCCTGGTCTCCGGTTGTTTAGTCAGGCGCGCCCCAACTGGTCAAGTTTGTTAAAAAAATACACCTTATTTTTAAGTAGTTAATTTCCAGCACAGTGCTTTTATTTTGAAGTGTTGTTTGTTGCTGTAGAGTGAGTGAATAACAGACCGCTTCTTGACAGAAAGAGCAAACTATCTTAGCGACAAACACAAGTATGGCACTGAACATATTCAACTGTGTGGACCCTGAAGCAGAAATCTGGACCAGTTGGGAACCACTGGTTGAGTCCACATCAGTTTGACTGTCAGATCTAACGTCAGCCTGAACAAACCAAACGCACAATAAATTAGTGAGATTATGTGTGAAGGCACCTTAAGGGAGTGAGCTCAAACTATAAGAAGCAGCCACAGATCAAAAGTGCACAAACTTTATAAGCAGACAGAGGTGTCCACATACTTTTGGCCATATACTGTATAACATATGACACTGTTATAAAGTAACTAACTCTACGTCCTGAGACACGCCTGTGCTCCATCAGAGTGCAGTAACATCCACACTGTGTTCACAGGAGCTCAAACTGACTGTGTTTTAATTTAAAGACATTTACAGTGAAGTTCTGAATAAACGCGGATCAGTTTGTTTTTCACGCAGCTGCAGCTGACAGTTTCTGTCTGCAGCAGCAGAAGGATCCAGCTGTGGTGTTTCTCAAGCAGCTGCAGACTTTCTGCAGCAGCTGCTGCCACCTGCAGGCTCACAGCTGTACTGCAGTGTTTAAATCTGTGCACACATTATAACCTTCTAACACTGTTTGTTACAGGAGGGAAGCTGTTGTTCTTTTCTCTCAGTGAAGGTGAAGAAATAAGGTTTCTCATCAACAGAGAACAAACTGCAATAAAGACAGCACTGCAGCTTAAATTATTTTGGATTTGTCTAGTTTACCAGATCCTTTTTTATGTCATTAAGTTGTTGAATCATAGTTTCTTTAAATAATTAGCATCCTGTGTTTCTCGTCTGCTCCTAATTTAAAACAGCAGCCTTAAAGTATCACCATCAAGCAACACCTTTGACACTACTGGACTCAATAAATGCTCACATGTACTTGTAGGTATTCTTATTTTTGCACTGCTGGATCACCAACAGCTACATGGAGGCTGCAGACCAGAGGCCTGAGGTCACTGTGTGGTGATCAATACTTTGATCAGTTGATTTATATAAACTGAAATGCTGAGCGCCTGAAGGTGGCTCCTCCATTTTTATCTGGTCTTGACGCTCTGTTTTATTTTGCAGCAGAACCCTGTTAATTTACATTTTATCACCAGACATGGTGCGTGTTCACAAATTGATTTGTACCAAAAGTAAGTTGAGGAACACAGATGCAGGTCGTCCCTGTGATTGTGAGCAGAATATATTGATTCTACAGTGGATCCAAACATCATTTGGTTTATAAAGTCTCACTGAGAAACATCCTAATAAAGTGAGATGAAATTGCAGATGAAGCATTTTCTATTTAAATATGCATTTTTAAAATTGTATTTTATTTTATTTCTTTTTATTTTATTTTATTTCATTTTTTTCTGAATTTTTTTGTTTTAATGTGCAGATGAAGCATTTTCTAATTAGATATGCATTTTAAAAAAAACTGGATTTTTATTTTATTTTATTTTATTTCTTTTAATTTTATTTTATTACATTTTTAAATTTTTATTTATTAATTTATTTTTCCATAAAATTTCCAGAGCAGTAATTTGAACTAAAAAGCACCTGACTGTGTCTTTGGGTGTTATTTTTCCACTAGTCTGAAAAAACCCATGTAATGAAGTCTTATGGAAAGACGTTTTCCAAGTTTTCTGATTTTTTTTTTTTTTGTTTGTTTGTTTTAATATGCAGATGAAGCATTTTCTAATTTTATATGCATTTTTAAAAATTTGATTTTTATTTTATTTAATTTTATTTCTTTTTATTTTATTTCATTTTTAAATGTTTATTCATTTATTTTTCCATAAAATTTCCAAAACATTAATCTGAACTAAAAAGCACCTGACTGTGTCTTTGGATGTTATTTTTCCACTAGTCTGAGAAAAACCCATGTAATGAAAGCAGCGACATAAGAAAGTAAGGACACGTCCCAGTGCACACTCTTGTGCATTTATCATCACATCACATGATCAAATAGAGACTTGACATTGGACCACGTCAGCATAAATATTACCCAGAAATCATCGCTGCATATCTGAAAAAACCATCAAAGAAAGTAAGAAGTTAATCATTTAATTGAATAGTTTTTTATACAGTAGTTAGGACCCCCACCCCATGGGCCCCACTGCAGCTGCACTGTCTATATTTACGCCCCTGTGTGCAAGGAAAGACGCCTGAAAAATCTCCCATTAAAATCACCTCCTACCAGCAGATATTTGGTCTGACGTCATGCAAAATATGAGTCAGACCACTGAACACGAACTGCTCAGCAGCAAACAGCAGACAGACAGTTAGAGACCAGCTGGTGAACATAGTGAAACATTAGCAGCTGAAGAGACAGATATTTCACTCAGGAGTTAGTGGAGACAAAATTTATAATCATAGTGTAGACTTCATGGGGGACACGCCCCCCTCAATATTTGCATTTGGCTCCTAAAGAAAGGGCAGTTGAAGAGGACGTTTTCTCACAAAATTAAATTAATAATCACCCAAATGCAAGAAATGAAGTGTTTGACACTCACAATTTTCTAGCAGATGACCCTAAAATTCTCCCTTCATGTCAATGCTGTGTATCCAGAGTGTTCTGCTGCCCCCTGGTGGTTAACAATCCATCACTGCCGCTTTAAATGTGGAAAACCTTTCAGTGTTTCTTCTGACAACCTTTAATGCAGCAGCTTCATGACCCAAAAGCATGAATATGTCACCTGATTAATTAGACCAAACAACCCCAGACAGAAATAGTCGCTCATGAACACATCAAAGAAGTTATTGATTATCAGGCTGTAGAAACATCAACACAAATACAGACTGAATACAACATGTTCAGGCTGAACTCACCTCTCTGTGTGACCAGCCCTCGGTGTACTGATTCCATTGGTCATCTGAGCTGAAGAGCCGTCCGTCCTCCCGTCCATCAATCCGTCTGTGTCGATGATTCAGCAGTTAAACTCCATCAGGCCTCCATCCATCAATCCATCAGCTAATAATCCAACAGGACGGTGAACACGTGACGTCTGCTGGGACCATTTTAATCCCCTCAGTTTGTTCAAGAACTCCTCTTTTTGTTTTCATCAGGTTTGGTTGAGTGATTAGTCCATCGAGTCCAGATGAGTAAGGTGCTTTCATGTCATGGCTAATTATGGAGACTTAAACTCAGCAGGAGGTGACCTGACATTTCACTGTGCAATAAATCATAGAGTTCTGAATCAGTTTGTTTGTGAAATATCGGGGCATGCACGAAATTATTGATCGATTGGAGACAGATTTTGTTGAATTAATGATTTTGTATTTTGAGTATAATCTGAAGTTAAAACATCAGAGCTCGACTGATACTGGCTGACTGATAATGTCAAAATAATTTCAATTTTTAACAAGTGGCTGAACACCTAATGTTTAAGTTTAAATGTGACTGAATTAATGGTATTGAAATATTTAAAAAAAAAACAAAATCTGTCTGAGTTCATGTAGTTTGGGCGCTATTTTTATTCTGATTTTTTTTTTTTTAGATTTTTTGTAATTTCAAAAACTTTAATTCAGTCACTCCTAAATGTTTCTTTCTTGGATCATGTGACTGATAGAACGTAACCTGATTGGTTATCTAAATGATCCCATTCAGGCTTGACAAGAAACAGGTCAGTTTAGTTGCTGTTCTGGAGCTTTTGATCAAATCACATGATCTTCTTCAGCTGAAGAAGGGTTAGCCCAGGTGTCATGGAAATGGAAACGTTCATATTTCTGCATATTTATCGTTTGTTTCTTTGTTTGTTTTTGTTTTAATATTTAATTTTTGGATTTTTAGATTCATTTTTTACAAATTAAAAGTCCTGCTGAAGTAAAACTATTATAGTGAGGGACAGGCCAAAAACCTCACTCTCACCAGTATAAAGCTGTTTAAAATATTTTAAATATTATTTAATTGACTTTAATTTTATGTTATATTACAGGCAAAGTTATATTTTTAAAATTACATATTTATTCATTGTTTCAAGCTTTTTATGACTGATTACCTCTTTGGGACACTAAAGGGCACTGATTCTGTGGAATGACCCTTTAGCAACTTGAAATTTTATTTATTTATTTTTTTTAATGCTGAAATTTCATATCTGAATCTGTGAACCCTAAATTTTTTTTTTGTTTGTTTATTTTTTTTAAATAATATTCACAACTTGAAATCACCCATGGCAATTCCAAAGACGAGAATTCAAACCATTGTCATTTGGTTTCTTCTTCTGCAACTGAATGAATACCTAATCGTGAAATTCAAATCACAATTTCAATACCAAAAATTCAGATCTTGGCTCTTGTTAGCCTCCGTACATGACTGATATGTAACGAATACCGCCAAAATGTGACTTAACTTTGTTGTATTGATCATTTTTAGCATCTTTTTTATCAGATTTTGTTGTTTTTCGTTTAGTTTATATAAGTTTTGCTGTTCAAAATGTACTTTTTCGATAAGAAACTAACACTAAAATGTCCTGCTCCACAACATTTTATCACAGCACTTATAAATGTCTAATATCAGCAGAGATATTAAATAAGTGTCAGTATCAGTCGAGCTCTAAAACATCCATAATATCATCATTGAATCTATTGAACAGGATGATTTCCTTTTTTTTTCCTATTGTAACTCCTTAAGATTTTTCAAGCTGAAAAAATGCACAATTTTAAAACATCAGATGTGTTTCTGGGAACTTGTGAAGAACATTTCTCATTATTTTCACCTTGTTGCAGCCAGTTCATTTCTGCGGATCATATTCTCTGTGTGACTGAGCTGCATGGACAACAGGTCACAAACCTGCCTGCTAATATTTTTTATACTTGATCATCTTTACTGTTGGAGATTAAAATAACGTGTGTCGGATTCAGCTGGTGAGCTAAAACAACATGGAGGCTTCCACAACATGGTGGTTTTGTGGCCTCGCTGAGCCTCGTCTCCACAGCCTCAGCCTGCGTCCTTTCATTCCTGTGGCAGACAATACAGAAAAGTCTGGAAGGTTGCTATAGAAACTGCATCCACCGGAGAGATGCGGGGCTCCTTGTCATCCACACAGTGGCGCTCTTGGTTTGGGAAAAGCTGCACCTGATTTCATAATGCCTCTCTACAAAGTGAGGATTTAACCTCCTGAAGCAACATTTAAACATTTAGGCGACTTGTACGGAAGCCTGCTCAGAGAAGTTTAATTTTAGGATAAGTGATTCCTCCAGCCTGCTGCACATCATCTGATCCACCACTGAGCTCCATGCAGAGTGAATGGAAAATACATGAGGGTGAAATAACAGGTGTGCGTGTGTGCGCGCGCGCGCGGGACCATAACAAAAACAGCCACCATGTGCCTCCTGCATCAGTCTGTATATTTAGACTAAATTGGTCCTGTGTTGCTTCAGATAGACAGAAAAGCAAATGTAAACTTTAAACCTGCATTATTGTGGCAATAAATTACGCATTTACTAAGAGAAACATCAGGCTAATAATAATAACAACAATAAAGTGCTACAACTGGCTAAAGGCTGATCATTTCAAAGCTTTCCCCTCTGACTCATGGCGCGCGTAATGGAAGACTGTTTCAGGGGGATAAATGTGAGTTATCTCATAATAATCCATCTGTGAATGAAATGAATCCCTTTGATGGCAGAAATAAGGAGCTCGCCAACCTAAACTCAAACCAGAGCGCGGGATGTTTGATGGCACGGAAAGATTCCCTCAGCGCGCCACTGATGCGTAATTGTGGGTCAAAAATCAAACATCGGTGAGCTTCCCGGTGTACGCTTTGTGCGGGCTGCAGTTGGTGTATTTGATGGAGTCCGCGTCATCGCTGTCCAGGTAGTCGGACTTGGACAGAGACGGCTTGCTGTCGCTCTTGTTGAACTCTCCAAACTGCGGCTGCTGCTGGCCGCACGTCACATGCGTGTACTGGAACTGCTCTTCGTGCTCCGTCTCCCGGTGGTAGAAGTAGTTGAAGTTGGAGACGATGACGGGCACCGGGAGCGCGATGGTTAACACTCCGGCTATGGCGCACAGGGAGCCCACAATTTTCCCTCCGATGGTGACCGGACACATGTCCCCGTAGCCCACCGTGGTCATGGACACCACCGCCCACCAGAACGCGTCCGGGATGCTGCTGAAGCCAGAGTCCGGGTCATCCGTCTCCGCGAAGTACACCGCGCTGGAGAAGAGGATGACCCCGATGAAGAGGAAGAATATAAGCAGTCCCAGCTCCCTCATACTGGCCTGCAGGGTCTTCCCGAGAATCTGGAGCCCCTTGGAGTGTCTGGAGAGCTTGAAGATCCGGAAGACCCGGACCAGACGGATGACCCTGAGGATGGCCAGCGACATGGCCTGCTGCCCGTTCCCCTGGTGCTCCGCTAACTCCAACCCCAGCGTGATGAAGTAGGGCATGATGGCCACGATATCGATGGTGTTCATGATGTTCTTAAAGAAAGCGGGCTTGCTCGGGCAGGCGAGGAACCTGACCAGCAGCTCGAAGGAGAACCAGATGATGCAGAGCGTCTCCACGATGAAAAACGGGTCTGTGAACGGGTTTGGCTTCTTTGCGCGCACCGTCCCGTTCACCACCAGCTGCTCGTCAAACGTTCTGGCTTCCTCTCGGAACTCCGGTAAAGTCTCCAAGCAGAAAATCACAATGGAGATGAGAATAACCAGCACGGAAACTATCGCGATCCCCCTGGCGGGTCCGGAGCTCTCCGGGTACTCGAACAGGAGCCAAACCTGCCGCTGGAACTCGTTATCAGGCAGCGGGCGCTCTTCCTCCTTAATAAACCCCTCATCCTCCTTAAAATTCTCGATCACCTCCTCCCCCAGTTCGTAAAATTTAATCTCCTCCATGAAAATGTCCACTGGCACGTTGACGGGTCTCCGGAGCCTCCCCCCGGACTGGTAGTAGTAGAGGATGGCATCGAAGCTGGGTCTGTTCCTGTCGAAGAAATACTCGTTCCTCAGCGGGTCGAAGAAGCGCATCCTCTTGCGCGGGTCCCCCAGCAGAGTGGAGGGGAACTGGGCGAGTGTCTTCAGCTGCGTCTCGAAACGCAGCCCGGAGATGTTGATGACCACCCGCTCGCAGCACTCCTGGTTCTCGGCTCTCTCCGGGTCGTACACATCCTGGGCTGACAGCGCGGCCAGTGCCACAGTCTCATCCAGGTTCTCTCCGGGCACCACTGTCATCTTTCCCCCCCAGACAAGGGCGACGCTTCCCGCACCTCAGTCCTCTCTGTTCCCCCTCCGACTCCTCCGCGCGTATTTGGAAACCAGCTGAGCGTCTCCGCGTGCCTTCCTCTTTTTTCTCGGTGTGTCGGCGTCACGTCTGCGGGTGAGCTGGTTCCACTGGCATTTTTGTGCCCCCCCACCCCCACCACGCTCACCTTTCCCGTCCACGCGCTGCTGTAGTCTGGACTATCGGCTCGACTGTCACATTCGCTGCATCTTAAGCAGGCTTTGCCCTCCCCGAGCTGACGTGTGTGTGCACGCTCTCTCACTGAGGGGGAAATAAAAACACACATGCACGCACATATGCTCATAATGAATCTCATCCAGATATTTAGGAACAAAGATGCACAAAATGATGACGATTTCAGGAGGAAATGTCAGGAATTTGGAGACTTTGCGTGCACATAAACTGTCGTGCGTAATGAACCTGTTGTCTCCAGAGTGGCACAGTCTCAAGGTTATCACTTCAGCTGCTGTTTATGGTGAAATGCAATGTGATATTTGCAAATACGAACATGCAGTTTTGAATGAGGGCAGAAAGCGCGAGAAATTTCGTGCAAAAACATGCGATTCTCATGCAAGAAATTGTCGTTTTTCATTCATATTTGATCCTAAATGAATACCTGTGGCTCAGAGATTTGCCTTCCTCCATCCACCCATCCTTTCATCCACAAATGACACACACATAAAGGGGAAAGAGACCAAAAAAGAGGCTCTGCAATGTCACGCTGCAGCCGTTTCAAGACGAAACCTTGCTGACGTTTCCACAACAGCCCTGAACGCGGCTGAGCTGCTCCACAAGTTGTGCACGACTTGCAGGATATGTCATGCCTCTGTTCTGTGTGCTGCAGGCATGTTGCACTGTGCATGACAAGCGAGATAAAGACAGCTATATTCTTCTCTGCTGCTTCTCTGTGAGACATGAAAAGGCTGGGTTTCAAAGCAACATGTCTCTGAATGGAAGGTAAACACTGCTGCGCTGTGCAACAAGTCAAGGGGGGGGGGGGGGGGGGGGGGGGGGGGGGGGGGGGGGGGGGGGGGGGGGGGGGGGGGGGGGGGCAAAGCTGGATGATGGAAAGAAGGGAGAGTTTCTGGGCTGCAGCTCAAAGCAGTGACGTGTTTTCCTAAAATAGCTGGATTTCTCTCAGGGCCGCAGGAAAAGTTTCTTTTCCCATGGAATGGCCCGAGGGAGCTGCAGGGGGAAAAGGAGGGAAAAAAGAGAGATGACATGAAAAGGAAAAAACAGATTTGCATCTCTAACCAACAGAGAGCAGAAGATACAGTGTGTGTGTGTGAGTCATTCAGAAATTACAGGAGTTTAACAGAAAACCTGGAGATTGAATTCTGAGCTAAGCTCCAGTGGAATGAACATATTTTTATACCAGGAGACAAATGCATGAAAACATTCTGACATCTTTCACTATAAATGCTTAAATGTTTCTGTTATTTCATGGAAATGAAAACTCATTTTATTGATAAAAACACAAGATGTGCAATAAAATCAGATTGTTTTTTGTAAACTAAACGTGTGTTATCTTATTTAGCTTCATCGCTCCTCATTAAAACAAATCTTCAACATTAAGAAACTCCAAAATCAGTGGAAAATAAAACTAAACTGCCTTGCAAAGTGGGAAGAACATGTGCAAAAGTTTGTCTCTTCTGCAAATAATCATACAAAAAATGGGGGGAATCTGCTGCATTATCTTTGAGCATGGTTTTATGATTTTAACAAATTCTCTGCACAATGTGGAGGCTTCAGACGGAAGATTTGAATAGCACAGTGTCTTAAAATGCATCACAATAGACCCACGACACCACTAATCACCCACTTACAATGCAGTGTTTGGATCCCTCCCCAGACCACTTAACACCCATTCACACCTGGATCCATCTAACCCTAAAGACACATGATGGCCGGGTGGGTCAACGACTCACATGTGACCTCAACGACTCTGTAAGGCTTCACTCACACACACGCACACACACAATTTAAATGCATGTGACAAGCTTAAACTGATGAGGCATCCCTGAAGATCCAAAAGTGACGCAGGAGGGTAACTCGTGCGTCATTTTTTAACATGTAGGTAGGTCCACATATGACGAGTTGGGATGAAAGTCCGCTTTTGTTTGACCCTTTCACCTCCCCTCCCTTCCAACCTACTTTCTTGCTCTTTATGCTATGTCAGTTGCTCTCAGTGTCAAATATTGCCTCGCACTGGTTTATATGGGATGTAGCTGAAAGCCCAGTGCATCTCATAAAGACGCTAAAGGGGCCTTTGGCTTCAATATCATGCGCCGAGGGCTGTACTGTAACAAACCAACGGTATTCAACACCCTGGGAATGAGAAGAGGCTGAAGCTTACTAACATGGCCTCTCGTCCATGAGTAGATGCACACTTCCTTCTGCGCAGTGATACGGTTAGTGGAGGTGGTCATATTGTTTTGACGCTTTGAGCACCACAAGCTGAGTGACATGTGGTTCCTTTATACTGGAGAGAAGGCAGACATCTCTACGGCCGATATCTCCAACACTCTGCAACTCACACCAAAACTATCCAGACTGATAACAGCATAATGGGTAAGACGGAAAATATGTTTTTGATTTGGGGGTCGACTCTCCCTTTGAACCTGTTGAATAGTATCTCTTGTCCAGTACTGATTACATTAAGTAGTTTGTGTTCAAAGGTCTCTGACTCCTCATTCTGATGGATCATTACCCAATCAGAGGGCCACGGGGGCAAAGAGAGGACGGAGCCTTTCAAAAATTAATGATGCAACATTTCCAAACTACTTTTAAACGTCTCTTATTCAAACCCTCCCCATGTGTGTTCGCCTCATCATAATTCAGCTCCTGACAGTCTGACTCATGCTGAAAACCCGACTTCAGCTGCCTGCAGATGACCTCTGCAGTCTGGCACTACCTCATTTCCTGTATCCTGTGAGCTCATCGCCCCTAACACACACACACACACACACACACACACACACACACACACACACACACACACACACACACACACACACCAGTTGCTAGTTTCATACTTGTGTCCACATGTTTTTAAATGTCACTCCAGGTCTCTGGTGTATACTCTGGCAGCTCGTCGTCCTCGTTTCTGTCCAGGTTTCTGTTTCCTGTTGGACCGCAGGAACGTCTGCGAGGCCTCGGAGCAAAGAAACGCTAGGCAGTGTCTGCAGCGAGGTCGCCTCATTCAGTCTCGTGTCACAGTTACAGTCACGGCTAAACCTTAAATGTCACATTAATCTGACAAACGTCTGGCTCCCAAAGATGATGAGTTAAAGGGCAGCGGAGGAGTTTCAGCTCTGTTGCTTTAAGATGCTCTGCAGGCAGAAATAAACTGGTTTCTGATTTCAGTCTCGGCAGCAGGAGACGAATACAAGCATGTTCTGCAGAATATGTTAATATGCAACCATTTGGTTTTGCTGATATGTGTTTGGACACATGGAACTGCCTGCTGTCGTGTTCAATTCAGATTCAATTCATCTGCAAAATTTTCCAACCAGTTTATCTAATTATTCCTAAAACATCCATAAAGCAGAGTTCTGGTGAATGAAACCACACACCAGCTACTTCAAACTGCAGATTTTAGACGCATTTGCACTATTTTTTTGGTCAGATTTATGAGGCCGTGCATCGTTTTGAGACTTCACACACATATACACTCACTGGCCACTTTATTAGGTACACCTTGCTGGTACCAGGTTGGACCCCCTTTTTAATTCTTGGTGTCACAGAATCAACAAGGTGCTGGAAACATTCCTCAGAGATTTTGGTCCATATTGACATGATGACATCAAACAGTTGATCCATGATGAGAATCTCCCGTTCCAGCACATCCCAAAGGTGCTCTATTGGACTGAGATCTGGTGACTGTGGAGGCCATTGGAGTACAGTGAACTCATTGTCATGTTTGAGATGATGTGAGCTTTGTGACATGGTGCGTTATCCTGCTGGAAGTAGCCATCAGAAGATGGGTACACTGTGGTCATAAAGGGATGGACACGCTCAGCAACAATACTCAGGTAGGCTGTGGTGTTTAAACCATGCTCAGTTGGTACTAAGAAAATCTCCCCCACACCATTACACCACCAGCAGCAGCCTGAACTGGATGGCTTTAAATACTACAACACCCATGAGCCTCTGCTGCTGTTGCTATGGAGAAGAAGCTGGTCAGAGGTCTGAATCAGACCTCTGACCAGAAAGTGTGATCTTTTAGCTTCAGCTCACCACTGTGATTGGATGTTTGTCAGTGAAATGCACCCTGGGAGTCGTAGTCGACTTCTCTCCTCCAGTTTTTATGTCCACAGGCTGAACGCTGCAGGATGAAGCCAGCTGACATCATCCATGAGAACATGAACAGTTGCTGCATGACACCACACATGACCCAGTCCTTGGGTTGTTTTTGGACATTACTGTCTGTTGGTTATGAATGGTTCACTGGGAGCTGACATGCCAGCACCACTGGGATACTCTGCGTCCCATTACCAGCGACCATTACACTCTGCCATCCAGTTTAAATACACACAGGGTATGGAGGAGATTTCCCACCCTCTCAAGCTTTTTGCTGTCATTATAATTTATGTTGTTTTTTTAACTGTACAGTTCTGGAACATGTTCAGGAGTCTGACGTGAAAAATGACTAATCCTGGAGGCCATGGGGTCGCTGTGAGCGCAAACATCACAGTACGAACATGTCAACAAGTCTGAAGAACCCCAGTAGCATGTTAGCTGTTATGTAACATCATCTTCGAATTAACTTTAGTTTCTTTGGGCTAACACGTTGTTGGTTTGGGTCTTAATATGATATCTGTTGCCAATTTTCAAAAAAGCAAATAATACCATTTATGTTTCTCTGTACGTTTGGGTTCGGCACTTGAAACCACACCACATGGACTCAACAAGAAGAGTGAATGATCATCTCTGATAATAGAAAATTTCCAACCATTCGCCAGGGGAAAAAAATGTTGACATTGTATGTTTCTGCAAAGCATTTGTACATTATTTTGTAGAAGATATGCTGGAACTTTGTGTGGTTAGGTTAAAGCACAAAAACCACCTGGTTAAGGTTAGGAAGACATGTTGTGGCTTAAAATATCCAGTCTGCTGATCACAAAGCCACGAGTTCCTAAAAACACCAGTGTTTGGGGACTGAAATGCAGGAAAAACAGCAAATGGATCCCTAAAAAAATCCACATTTGGAGGCTGAAAAGCTGCCAGAAAAAAGGCCACAAGTCCCCAAAAAAAGACCCACGCTTGAGGGCCTGAAGAGCTGCAGGAAAAAGAGCCTCGGGTCCCTAAAAAACACCAACAATTGGAGGCTGAAAAGCTGCACGGAAAAAGAGCCTCGGGTCCCTAAAAAACACGACATTTGGAGGCTAAAAAGCTGCACGGAAAAAGAGCCTCGGGTCCCTAAAAATCACGACATTTGGAGGCTAAAAAGCTGCACGGAAAAAGAGCCTCGGGTCCCTAAAAAACATGACATTTGGAGGTTGAAAAGCTGCCAGAAAAAAGGCCATGAGTCGATAAAAAAGACCCACACTTGGGGGCCTGAAGAGCTGCAGGAAAAAGAGCCTCGGGTCCCTAAAAAAGACCTACATTTGGGGGCTGAGAAGCTTCAGGAAAAAGAGCCAAAGTCTGCAGGAAAAAAAAGCAGTAGGTCCCTAAAAACATTGTTTTGGTGCTTAAAAGCTGCTCGACAAAGAACCACAGATCTCTTAAAAAATATCTCCGTGTTTGGGGGCTGAAAAGCTGCTAGAAACACAGCAGTGACTCGTTAAAAATCTACTGGTTGTGTTGTTTTTTTGGTCCTGAAAGGTGGTCTGCAGCTTGGCGGATGTCTTACTTAGATGTACGTCGTCCAACATCCCCTCCAGCTCCTGATGAC